TATCACATTTGGTAATGTTGAGGTTTATGAGTGCTTTGGTATAGTAATTATCCACAAATAATTTGGTTAAGATATTAAAGCTTTGCATTGACGTTCTTGTCACTCCTCTACCCCATTGCCCAAGTTAAAAATAAAGCAATGTCAGGATAATGAAAGCTGTGGTTGAAAAAAATGCACAGTAAAATAAACATCTTTTCCTATTGCATGAATGGTATTAAGTCAGGGTTGCTGCCTCAAACAGTGGCAAATGCTGTGCAAAAGCCAGAATGTGTTTATTCTTTCTGACCCCTTGAGTTCCCTTTTTCCTTTGTTGCAGGCATCTTTGTGAATGCCACACCCAAAATTCAGGCATCCAGCAGGTCATCTCCAATATGATGATTTAGATTGGGAGATACATTTACCTCAACTAATCCACTTAAGGGTAACTTAATTAAGAGAATAAAATGTGCCAGCACTTTTCTGCTTCTAGGGGAATATTACATTAGAACATTCACATATTTGCACTTTCTGCAAAAACACAGGCAGATAAGAAAAAAAAGAGGCATCACAGAGTCTTAAATGTGAATGTGACCCAAGAATTCATCCATGCCACCCTTTTGCACCCAAAGATTTTATTTCTAAACCAAAATGTTAATGTGTTAATTAAAACTGATGTGATTGAAAAGATTTAGCAGTTTATTCCAAAGTAACTGTATTTATCACACAGAAAAGGTAGTAACTTGCAGGTGGATGATGTTTTTTTTTTTAAAAGATTTTATTTATTTATTCATGAGAGACAGAGAGAGAGAGGCAGAGAGAGAGGCAGAGGGAGAAGCAGGTTCCCAAGGAGCAAGGAGCCCGATGCGGGACCCGATCCCAGGACTCTGGGATCATGACCTGAGCTGAAGGCAGACGCTTAACCATCTGAGCCACCCAGGCGCCCTGGATGATGTTTTTATATAATGTTGGTCCAGGTAAACAAGTACTGAATTATTATTCCTATTATACCATTGAAGTATTTTCTGAGACTGTAACACAGCATGAGTTTTAGTTTAAATGCATATTATGTCTAATTAAACTTTTAATCCTTTACTGGTTCTAAATTTTATTTTATTTGTATTACTTGGGAACTGTTTTCAGTTAAGAAATACCAAATGTGGGGCGCCTGGGTGGCTCAGTCAGTTAAGTGTCTGCCTTCGGCTCAGGTCATGATCAGAGGGTCCTGGGATCGAGCCCCAAATCAGGCTCCCTGCTCAGTGGGGAGTCTGCTTCTACCTCTCCCTCTGTCCCTCCTCCCACTCGTGCTCTATCTCTCTCTGTCAAATAAATAAATAAAATCTTAAAAATAAAGAAATACCAAATGATTGATGTTTAAAAGCGTGGGTTTCCTATATGTTTCTTTAGATTATTTATCTCAATATATGTTGTGACTATAATCGCATTTTATGTATGTGGAAAATCTAAAGGTGATGTTCATTTTCTCCATGCAACTGCTCAAAACTTTAATATGTTCTATTTCTAAAGTTGGACAAGGGATACAAGATTTCTCAAACTGTAGTTCACATTTTGCTTCAATATGCATGTTTTCTGAAATGGCAAAATCCCTCAGGGCTATGTGATTTTCACTAGTGTGTGTGTTTAAAGTTCATAGGCAAAGACAACTGAATAAGTCATGGAACACATTTTCTCTGTATGCCTGAGAAATGCAAATTGTCATAGGTCAATTGCTGAGAGGTCTTGTCTCTATCTTGTATATCTTGTTTGCAATTTGTTTTTCATTTATTCCAAGCATACACAATTCACTTTGTATTTGCTTGTTACTTACATGTTGTTCAGTTGTCTGCAAAGTTGGCTTTTAACCTGAGGAGAAACTATTCTCTGTTGACTGTGCCTTCCTAATGTACTAACTAATGCTTATCAACATTTCCAGGGCTAGGAGGGGGAATTCATTGCTCACATACCACCTTGATTACTTGTACTCATTTTCAAAGGAATATTAACTAACAGATCAGAGAGATCATAGCTAAGCTAAGAAACAGATCTATCTGCCTTGTGATGTTAGGATCACATACACCAATGCACACCCTGGAAAAGACTCTTCAAATGCAGGGCGAGAGCCCATGCTTGGAGTCTCACAGATCTGGAGTCCCATTCTAGTCTCCCATGTATTAGCTGTGTAACCTTCGATGTGCTTCGTAACTTCTCTGAGCTTCATTTCCCCAACTGATAAAATAAACATTCTAGCCCCATGTCAGAGGACTGTTTTAAGGAATAGGAAGGAACGGGGCAAATCACTAGTGGTATATGACAAACCAGCTCTCAGTTTGTTTTTTTAATGTCTTGATTTGCCTTGATTTGTAGTGTGGTGTAAATACTTTCATCATGGTTGATTTCAAACTATGAATGATTTAACAACCACCTGGTAAAATTCTTGAATATGTAACAGTCCTCTGGTACCATCCAAGCCCAGCACAGCACTGCTAGCCCTTAACAAATGGTGATAATTACTTAATAGTTATATTTTGTCTTCCATTGATCTAAGAAAATTTTTGCTGTTTGGTGCATTTCTATATAGATGGAGAATGTGAAAGCTAAGGGAAGAATAGTAACGTATAAGGTTTAAAGTATTAATGATTTCAAATAACAAAAAAGAGCTACCTTAACAATTTTGAAAGTAGGTGAAAAACTTACAACAAAAAGGAAACATTTTAATAAAAAAATGTGTTAGTAAAATCTTTAAAAGTAAGAATAAAGATTACCTGTAAGATGTTCTAGATGAATTAAATTTAATAGTAGCTTTTTCAGATTGGTTAGAAACGGTTTGATTTTTTCCGGTTTTACTTTCTTTACACAAAAAAGTCCTAAGGGGAAAAGTGTGTGTATTTGATACCTTAACAAATAAAGATAAGCAGACAGCCGTTATTTAAAAACCTAGTACTTTCAAAAGAGCTTCTTTCAATTTCATCCAGTAGCTGTTTTCTATTATTCAAAATTGACTTTAGATTTTAAAGTTTGCTACAAGGGTATATTTTTGGAAGTATTTCTTTACTGAGTAGCCATGGCGATTTTTCTTTTTTTTGGCAATAATGAAAATTTGCATGCATAGTCTGACATGATGGGCAAGGGTTGGCATACTTGAACTGAGATTGCTCCGGAACATCTGGACACATGAAGCCTGTAAATGACTTTCATGTAGCAGTGCACATCTCAATTTACAAAGCACAAATTGTGGGTGATCTAGGAGAAAATCACCAGAATTGCGGGCAGTTGATGAAATCAGCCTGTGCTGAGAGTACCATTTTTTATGTGCATTTACTGTGCCATAAGCAGTCAGTGCTGGGACACCACGCCTGGGCAATGTGTGGGCAAACTCAAGGGCATTTCTATGAGTAAAAGCTGACTTCAATGAAACTCCTCTGTCCATTTCAGCAAGAGGAGACTACAGGATGGGGACACTGAAAGGACCTGAGGGTATTTTCTATGTTAATCTTACTTATAAAGTGACAGAAGCAATTGGCACAGTAGGTCTACAAAGCCAGACAAGGCTGTGAGGAAGAACTGGGAAGACTGTACATTAGAACCCCCAAATTGATGTCCTGCCCTTTAAGTGAGAGATCCTCACTGCAGCATGCTGGCCACGAATGCAAATACCCGTTTCTCCGGGGATATGTATGTCTCTTCCTAAGTGCATGTGACTCCGTACATATTTCCTGTTTCTAGAGATATTATGGATGTGTACGAAAACATATTCCATGAAGTTTTGGGTGTTGGATCAGATTTGGGGGAAGAGAGAAAGACTGCACCTTCTTTCTCTTACCTAGGTAAATTAAAATGTTTCTCAGCGTGTGAATTGCCTTTAGTATCACAACCTAGTGCAGGGGCAAAGGTTACATAGTTAAGCTGGTAAAGTTTTCTCAGGTTCATGTTACAATTAAGTAAAGTGAAAGAGAGGAAAGTATTCTTTTCCCGTTGACACAAAATGTGATTACTTGCCATCCTTGTGAAACGTTATATCGTCAGCCTTTCGGATAAGCCTGGCTGGTATGTCTACGGATTAGTTGCAAAACAATGTGAGAAACATCAACGGACGCTCTTTTATCTGTCCGTTTCTCTGTGAGACTCTTTCCCATGAAAACATATTCATTAATTAAAAGATGTGGTGTATTACAAACTAATGTTGGCAGCTGGACCCAGAGTCAATACCCATGAGAAATCAAAGTGGGTATATTTCAGGGGTCATAGGGACAGAATTTCCATGGGCGGTTGAATGATACTGTTGTTGCTTTTATATCCTCTCCCAGCAGATACTTTGTTTCATGCAATTCACTCTGCAAGCAAAATCCAAAAGCGGGGCACCTATTTAGCAAATGGAAGTATATTTAAGATACTTTGGCAGGTTATTTTTTTAAATTTAATTTTATTATGTTATGTTAATCACTGTACATTACATCCTTAGTTTTGGATGTAGTGTTCCGTGATTCATTGTTGTTTTTTTAAGACATAGTTCTCTTCTGAGCCACCTGCAGTATTGAGCTGAAGGCTTGGAAACATGAAAAATCCCACTTTATTAAAATCCTGGGTTTAGTACTTTTCTTTTAGATTGAAACATTGTCTAACTAGAAAGTATTAATATTGAGTTAGCTATATAGGCTTTGGAACATAATGATTCTAATGATACCAGTCCTTCATTAAGTGTGCATTGGCACCGCATTGTACCACTGAGCCTCAGAACAGCTCTGCAAGTCAGTGCTTCTATGCGGTCTCTTACGTAGTTAAGGGAACGAAGGCTTAGAAAGCGGAAGTAACTCGTCCAAGTTGACATTGCTGGTAAGGGACGGAGGGGGGATTTCAACAAAGGCCAACGGATGCAGCGCCCACGCTCATCACAACCAGATTCTATTGTCCACTCAAGTCCATAATTTCAAACTGGTTGTGTTGGGAAGTGTGCAGTTTGACCCATTTTTGTGTGAATGGCAACGTGGAATCTCTGAGTAACGGACGCCTTTGTCTTTTGCCCGTAGGCCCCTGGGGAAGGTGTATGGGCGACTGTGGACCGGGAGGAGTGCAGAGTCGTGCCCTGTGGTGTTTCCACTTGGAAGGGTGGACGAGTCACCTATCTAACTGCGTCGAGAACACCAGGCCTCCAAAGGAAAGAAGCTGCTTCCGGGTGTGTGACTGGCACAGCGACGTCTTCCAGTGGGAGGTCTCCGACTGGCACCAGTGCGTGCTCGTTCCCGCCAGCCCCGGCCAAGCGCAGCCTCGGACCGCGGAGTGTGTGACGGCGCAGCATGGGCTGCAGCACCGGACCGTGCGCTGTGTTCAGAAGTTGAACAGAACCAGGGTTGTAAATGAAATCTGTGAACACTTTGCTCCTCAGCCCCCCGCAGAACAAGCTTGCCTCATTCCCTGCCCCCGGGACTGTGTCGTATCTGAGTTCTCACAGTGGTCCGAGTGCAGCAAGGGCTGTGAGAAGCAATTGCAGCACAGGACCCGGGCGGCCATCGCTCCCCCTCTCTATGGCGGGTCTCCGTGTCCCAATCTGACGGAGTCGAGAGCCTGTGACACTCCCATTTCCTGTCCTCTTGGTGAAGAGGAATATACTTTTAGCTTTAAAGCAGGACCATGGAGTAAATGTAGACTGCCTCATCTTAAAGAAATTAACCTAAGCGGAAGAACTGTTCTGGATTTCAGCTCTGATTCAAAGGAGCGAGTCACCTTTCGACATCAAAGTTACAAGCCACATCACCTCTCCAAGCCCTGGGACTTAGAGATAGGTTATCAAACCCGGCAGGTCTGGTGCACCAGAAGTGACGGAAAAAATGCTTCCTTAAGGTAAGGAGGCCTTCAGTGTTTTCATCTTGGCTTCACCTAGCTATTTTACAATGCAATTTTATAAGGTTTCTTTATGTTTCCCTACGAAGGGAAAATTATAACCAGGTTGGGATTTGGATTTTTAGAAGTTTCATCGGAGAAGTTTCCAATTTCAATTATGAATATTTCAGAGTATTGACAAGGCAGAGCTCTGAATTCTTGCATAATTAGTGTAACTATATAGAATAAAGCACATATTACCACGGTTTATCAACATATCAACCAGTTTAAAAAAAAATAGGTCCGTACTGTTACTACAATAATAAAAGACTAAGCCTTTCTTTATAATGGTAAAAATTCCAATTGACTCTCAAACTTGAGATATAAATTATGCAAATATTTATCATTTTTCATAATCGTGTTTTTTAAATTTTTTGTTTACTTTTGTTTTCATGATTGAGAAGGTTCTCTAACATTTTAGTTGTAGATTTTTTATAGTAGTAATAATAGCAGTAAGTTAATCGAAGAATGCTTTCTATGACATTGATTTGAAAAAAATATTACCTTGCTCAGCAATAAATAGAATTACAAACCTATAGAGGGAATGAACTACAACTTTTTAAAAGGATAGTTTAGGCTTAAAAATTATTTGTAACTGTTTTGCTTTAAATTCTAGTACAAAAAAAATCCATGACATAAGTATATAGAAATATGTTCAAAGTTGTATTTGTTTAATTTTCCCCAGAAGGTCTTAAAAGGAAGCACTGGTATAATTACCAAGTTTTTTTCCAAATTTAAATGCCTTTCACCAGTACTTAAATTATAAAACAGTGAAATGCTCATCCCTAGAATTAATCATTATCATCAGTTACTGTTTTCTTGGAATCCACAGCTGGCTGGGAGAGGCTCAAAAGACTACCTCTGCTATTCAAGAACAAAATAATGTGATGATTGCTTTTTTTTTTTATTTGACTTCACATATGAGCATATTTTATCTTTGATGCTTCATTCTGATTTATGCCATATACAATTGGCAAGTCCATTGAAGAGTGATTTTATGCCTTTTATTGCCTGCCTCTGTGAAGCCCAAAAGATTAAGCAGATGATTTGGGTGATTATTGTTTGAATGTGTATGTGGGATTCTGTAAAGACATTGTTTTCTTAATATTCCAGAGAATGTTTTCATTTTTAGCTTGCTTGTTTTTGCCATTTTTTAAATTAAAACTCTATTTTTTAGACTGGTTTTTGATTTACAGACAAATTGAGTGGAAAATACAGTTTCCATATACCTTATCATCACTCCCCTCCACATATACAGTTTCATACATACATCTTGCATCAGGGTAGTGTATTTGTTAAAATTCATGAGCTATGTCAATATAATACTATAGTCCATAGGTTACATTAGAATTCACTGTGTTGTACATTCTATGGGTTTGGACAAATGTGTAATGATATGTATCCATCATTGCTGTATCATATAGAATAGTTTCACTGCCCTAAAATCTGTGCTCCACCTATTGATCTCACCTTTCTTCTCCCCAGTTCTGTTCCCTGATAGTCAATAATCTTTTTATTGGTTGCATAGTTTTATCTTTTCCAGAGTGTTATATAGTTGGGATGATACAGTGGTTAGCCTTTTCTTATTGGCTTCTTTTGCTTAGCAGTATGCATTTAAAGTTCCTCCATGTGTATCCATGGCTTGATAGCTCAGTTCTTTTTATCACTGAATAGCGTTTGTTGGTTTACAAACTACCCCTCTTACGCCATATACACAGGGCAAGGAGAGACCAAAGAAAGAGGCAGACCATTCCAGATTGGTAGATGGCATTTTAATAAGTAAGAGAACTTAATTATGAGGCTTGTTTTAGGTGGCTGCAAAATGAGTCGAACTCTGTACCCATCTGCCAAATCTTAAAAGTGTATATAGAGGCCTTAATTGGGTCCAGTCCCGTATACCATCTAGATGGTCTCAAAACACATTACTCCCTTAAGGCTGTGTCCTTAGAGGAGCTCCCACTGTGTGCAGAGCATATATTCCAAGGACAAGGGAGGGAGTGAGGAGCCTCCAATTGCCCAAGTCCAGCCCAAGGTCAACTGGAAGTCACAACCTCTTGATTACCTCCTCCAACAGTATTCCATTGTATGGCTATATCACAATTTGTTATCCATTCACCTCTTGAAGGACATCTTGATTGCTTCCAAGTTTTGGCAGCTATAAATAAAGTTTCTACAAACATTCATCTGCAGATTTTTATGTGAATACATCTTTTTAACTCATTTGGAAAAATTTTATGGTAAGAGTTTGTTTAGTTTTGTAAGAAGCTGCCAAACTGTTTTCCAAAGTGGCTGTGTCATTTTGTATTCCCACCAGCAATAAATAAGAGTTCCTATTGCTTCACGTTCTGGCCAGCATTTGCTATTGTCAGTGTTTTGGATTTTAGCCATGTTTTAATAGGTGTGTAGTGGTATTTTGTTTTAATTTGCAATTCCTTTTTGTAAAGATTTTATTTATTTATTTGACAGAGAGACAGCAAGAGAGGGAACACAAGCAGGGGAAGTGGGAGAGGGAGAAGCAGGTTTCCCTCTGAGCAAGGAGCTGATGCAGGGCTGGATCCTGGGATCATGACCTGAACTGAAGACAGATGCTTAACGACTGAGCCACCCAGGCGCCCCATAATTTGCAATTCCTTAATCACATATAATGTTCAGAATCTTTTCATATGCTTATTTACATCTGTTTATATTCCTTGGTGAGGCGTCCAGATCTTTTCCTATTTTTTGAGTTGTTTTCTTATGGTTGAGTTTTACTAATTCTTTGTATATTTTTGGATACCAGTCCTTTATCAGATATTTGTTTTGAAAATATTTCCTTTCAACTGATGGCCTGTCTTTTCATTCTCTCAAAAGCGTCTTTCACAGAGTTTTTTTTTTTTTTAATCTTAATGAAGTCCAATTTATTAATATTTCATTCATGGACTGTTCTTTGGTGTTCCATCTAAAACAACAACAAGTTCTCTAAATCTAAGATCAACTAGATTTCCTCCTATATTGTTTTCTAGGGGTTTTACATTTTACATTTAGGTCTATGATCCAGTCTAACTTTTGTGAAAGGATAAGGTCGATATCTGAATTCATTTTGTTTTTTTGCATGTGGATATTCAGTTGTTCTAGTATCATTTGTTAAAAAGACTCCTTTCTCTATTGAATTGCCTTTGCTCCTTTGTCGAAGATTATTTGACTGTATTTATGTGGATCTATTTTTGGGCTCTCTGTCTTTATTCCATTGATCTATTTATCTATTTGCCAGTAAAACAATGTCTTAAATACTGAAGCTTTATAGTAAGTCTTGAAGTTGGGTAGTGTCAGTCCTCTGAATTATTCTTTTTTAATATTGTATTGACTGTTCTGGGTCTTCTGTTTTTCCATATACACTTTAGAATCAGTTTTTTCAATAGCTACAAAATAATTTGCTGAGATTTTGACTGGGATTGTTTGTAGTATATGGAGCAATTTGCAAAGAAATAACATCTTGATAATATTGAGTCTTCTTCTCCATGTACCTGGAATATTTCTCCATTTATGTACGTCTTTGATTTCTTCATCAGAGTTTTATACTTCTTATCGTGTAAATCTTATACATATTTTATTAGATTGATACTTAAGTATTTCATATTTTTTGGTGCTAATATAAATGTATTGTGTTTTTAATTTCAAATTCTAATTTTTCATTGCTAGTATACAAGAAAACAATTGACTTATATATTAACATTGTATTCTGAACCCTTGTTATAATCACTTACTAGTTCCAGGACTTTGTGTTGTTATTGTTGATGAAGATTTTTTGGGATTCTCTATATAGACAAGCCTATCATTTGCAGGCAAAGGAAGTTTATTTCTTCCTTTTCATTCTGTTCCCCTTTCATTTCCTTTTATTGTCTTACTCCTTCAACTTATTGTTGTTGTTTTAGATGGAACACCAAAGAACAATATTGTATTATCTAGGACTTTCAGTATGATGTCAAAGTGATAAGTGATAAGGATGGATATCCTTGCCTTGTTCCCAATCTTAGCAAGAAAGCATCTGGTTTCTCACAATTAAGAAAAATGCTAAATGTATGTTTTTTGTGGATATTCTCTTTTTAAAAAAATATTTATTTATTTGAGAGAGAGAGGGACAGCACATGCATGAGCACAAGCAGGGAGAGGGACAGAGGGAGAGAAACTCAAGCAGAACCTGTTGGGGGGCTCAGTCTCATGACCCTGAGATCATGACCTGAGCTGAAATCAGGAGTTGGATACTCAATCAACTGAGCCACCCAGGCTCCCCATAGATACTCTTTTTTTTAAGTTTTTTTTTGTTGAAGATTTTATTTATTTATTTGACAGAGACACAGCGAGAGAGGGAACACAAGCAGAGGGAGTGGGAGAGGGCCTACCGCTGAGCAGGGAGCCTGATGTGGGACTCGATCTCAGGACCCCAGGATCATGACTTGGGCTGAAGGCAGATGCTTAAGGACTGAGCCACCCAGGCAACCCCCATGGATATTCTTTGTCATGTTGAAGAACTCCCCCATATTCTTTTTCCTATATAGTTTGCTGAGAATTTTTGTCATTCACTGATGGTGGTTTTTGTCAAGTGCTTTTTCTGTGTGTATAGATATGACTGTATAATTTTACTGTAGTCTGTAGATATGTTAGATTGTGTTAATTGATTTTTGATGTTGAACCAGCTTTGCATGCCTGGGATAAATCACATTTGATTATAATGTAGTATTTTTCTTTTTCCTGTCCTCTTACCAGAATTCTTTTTTTTTTATTATGTTATGTTAATCACCTTACATTACATCATTAGTTTTTGATGTATTGTTCCATGATTTATTGTTTGCATATAACACCCAGTGCTCCATGCAGAACGTGCCCTCTTTAATACCCATTACCAGGCTAACCCATCCTTCCACGGCCCTTCCCTCTAGAACCCTCAGTTTGTTTTTCAGAGTCCATAGTCTCTCATGGTTTGC